GCCTTCCCAGTTCCCCACCTTGCACTTTACTTCCCCCACTTCGAACTGCGCCGGGGCTCCGGCCGCCACTGAGCCGTCCAGCTGCGAGAATGCTATGGGGGTTTGTAATGGGGTTTTCTTACAATTTAGTTCATCCGCTAATTCTGGGGCCACAATATTTCTGGAACAGCCGCAATCCAAGAGGGCTTTGCAACTGGCCCATTTCCCCTCCCCTTCTAACTTGATCGGGAACACCAGCATTCCTGGGCTGTGACTCACCAGGTCTCCCACTGGGGCCCTATGAGGGGGATTCTCTTCCGCTCTCTTCCCCGCGGCTGGCTTAAACTTTGGAAAATGGGGATCTTCCCCTTTCCTCTGCCGACATTCAGCAGCCCGATGCCCAAGGCGACCGCATACATAACAGCCGCCCTTCTGCTCCTTTGATCCTCCGGTAGGGCCCTTCCCGATTGCGCCTCTCTCCGCTCTCCGATTCTCCTCCTTGGCTCTCGTCTGCTGCGGCGCCGCTCCTTGATGTCTCTTGACCTGTGCCAACATCGTCTCGATGCGGCCGGCCAGCTCGATCCATCCGCCTATCTCCTCCGGATCGTCACGATGAAGTGCCCAGGTCAAAATTTCCTTCCGCAGGCCCTCTTTGAATATTTGGACCTTGGTGGTGTTTGACCACTCCGGCACTTTTTCCGCTCTCAATCGGAATTCCTCTACGTATTCAGATACGGAGCGATGGCCTTGTGTTATTGTTCGTAGCCTGTCCCTCGCTCGGATCCTCTTGAGCGGATCCCTGAAGCGTGCCTCCATTGCAGCAAGGAACCACCTCGTAGATCCCAAACATGGATCGCGCCTGGCGTGGAGCTGGACGTACCACTCCGCTGCTCCCCCTCTCAGCGCTGCGCCCACTGCCCGCACTCGGCTCGCCTCCGATCCGAAGGTAAGGGCGTTATCTTCTAGATATCCTCTCACCATGGTTAGGAAGTACGCGAGGCTCTCGGCTTCTCCTCCGAATTCAATCCTCAGCTCCTCCCTCCTTGGTTGGTAGAGAAAGGGCTGCCTCTCCGGATTCTCCGCTCGGGGTGGCCCT